GACGACCTCCATGGCCGAGTGGTTTATACGCCGGGTTTCATGGTGTCGCCGACACGAGAGGTCCCGGGTTCGAATCCCGGTGGGGGCAGATGTTTGTGTGATGAATACGTACATTTGTACTCCAGTCATGGATGTTTAATATGTATTTCTAAATAAATATACTTATATGTACAGTATTTGTATTCTACCCGTTATCCTAGTATCCCATAACACAAGCCTTATAGTGCTTACTTTGGGGCTAGGCTAATTGATGTGTGTGTTGGAAATATTTATTTATTATTCATTAATTTTATGTTTCGAGAATCATGCAAGAATCGCCACCACTGTCACGTCACATTGCCGTAGCAATAGATGAGACTACTCCTTAAAGACAACATGGTCACTGACAAGAAATTTATTTAATTGAGGTCTTACCCCTCGTTTACACCAAGGTATAATACAAGTACTTATTTAACAAATGTTTTACAATGTCTTAATTTTTTGATCAAACTTATATACTTACATGTATAAAACATGTAAATAGTAAGTATTGTCGGGCAGCGACAAAATAAATAGAAAAAGAAAAGAGAAAATAGAAATAGGTTTAAAAATATATATATTTACAAGAATAATATTCACAGAAAAGAATATAAAAAGGTAAGGGTATAGTGTGTGTGTAGTGTGGAGTGTGAAGTAGGAAGTGGTGAAGTGGGCGTGGGTCGTCGGCAATCTTCACTATGCCGTTAAGTGTCCACTCTGGAATAGTGATTTTCAGTACACATGGAATTATTATACGTATTTACAAAATGATGAATAGTGTGTGATAATTTTGAAATTGTGTGTTTCCAGAAATACATAATAAAATATATGTTTATGCCTGAAGAATATCGATGATGTTAGATGATAAAGTGTGTGAAATGGAACCTATGATAGTCGAAACTATAGGACGATTCCTGAGGTACGTTACAATATACAATACTTGATCATACTTGCTGGATAAACAAATATGTGAAGTAAATAAGTATTTTATATTTATCAGATACTAGTTGTATAAGCAGAGCGAACGAAACAATGTTTTAAACAGCCACAATAAGTATTCTACAAGTTTTGTTTTAAAACTAGTATAGGTACGACTTTTTTCTTGGTGGAAACGAGGGGTTAGAGTGCGTAAGACACTAACTGACATGTAGGAAAGTTCACCATCATCTACTCAAGTTTAAATACTTTCACGACGCATAGCAGCAATAAACTCATATTTTAGTCCAGTCAATGAAGGCAAAAATCAGCTACAACCTCCGATTTCGTTGGACCTCCATCGATTTTCATGAAAATTGGTGAGTAGGTGGGCGATACCTTAAGAAACAAAAGTGACATAGTGCCAACTTGCGCTTTTGCCCTGGAGGTAGATGCCACCCCTTCCCGAGGGTGAAAATTATTTTAATAAAAATCACTCCAGGAATCGATAGAAACACAAATTCTAAACAAAATTCGTTAAATAAGGTTTATGCAATAAATCAATACTTTCTGAGTTATTAAAGCTCAAAAATTGTGATTTTTCGTGATAAAAATACATGTTTTAAGGATTTTTTATAAATAACTCAAAAACGATGTGTTTTTACAAAATTGAAGCTAATAAAAAAGCAAACAAATCCCTACTTTGAAATACCTTTTAATATTAATTCAAAGTGAGCTATACGTAATTGTATGTATATTTTTTTCGGGGAGTACCTTAATCTAAGTATTCAAACCTAAATAACGGGAAATCGATGCATTTTATGACATATACTTCCTGAACACTTATTAAAGTCCTCAGAAATACCTTTCTAATGAGTAATATATAAAAAGTTAATAGCATCAAAATTGAGGAAGTTATGATAAAAATAAGATGACACTCGATTTTTTTTGGAAAAATACTAAAAATAAAACCTTCACCATTTTCACAACAATTCAAATTTATGGTTATCCATAATGGACTTTCTTTTTTTTAGCATAAGTGATGACCTCAAAAATTTTGGCCGGTTTAGAATGCTTATTTTTCAGAAAAAAGTATGATTTCATAAAATTGAAATTTTTCAGATTTTCGTAAATTTTATTTTCTTTTAAAAATAACTTCAAAAATATTGAATATTCGTAAAAAATGAAAAAAAAAACGAAATTTGAGTTCTTTTTTTAACAAACATTTTGTTTTTATTTTTATACTTAGGATAAAAAATATCCGAGATAGATACGTTTACAGCTTAACTTTCACTGTGAGAACCATGTAACCGAGACCCTTTAACCCTTTACCTTTCAAAAAATAAGCATTCTAAACCGGGCAAATTTTTTGAGGTCATTACTTATGGAGGCCATACACATTAGGTTTTGCATGATGGTTTTAGCCGTGCATGCATAACCGACATGCATATCCGAGTTTCATATTGCACATACACGTTAGGGTTTGTATGTACAGTTTTGCCATTACTCTCAGTTGAGCTACGTGACGGTGTGTGTAGAACGCCTATTAAGTACTGTGAATGGAATATTTTTTTAATCACATCTTCTTTCGTAGCTGTGGGCACTAATTGCTTGACCTTAGTTATCAATCTCTGGTATTCTTTGCAGTTTTCGCCAAAGACAAGGTTCCGACTTATAACTTTCTATAAATTCTTCTAATGTTGCATTGCGCTTGCGACTAGCCATTTTCGAAACGACGCGATGGTGCTCGAACCTTCCGCCGTCGCAACAATTAAAAACTGAGAACTGTGACAGGCAAGCTCGCCGGACGCCACACACGCTCTAGTACAGTCAATCTGTAGGTTGAGTGGGGGAAAAAAAACCTAAAGTGTAAGTCTTGTTTTTTCTGTTGCCAAATGACGTCAGTAAGCCACCTTGGCGATGGGCATTGAAAAACTAAAAAAAACCGTCAAAAATTTTTTGAAACGCACTTTTCTTGTTTTGTATGCATTTTAGAAACTTTTTTTTTGACCATAATTGTAGAGGGCGTTGAGTACTACAGTTTATGTCATTGTTGCAATCTCGTACAACAAAAAATGCGCATTGTAGGTGGCGCTAAAGTCTCAAAAAAAGTGTTTTTTCACTTTTTTACCCTGAAAATATCATTTTAATGGAAAATTTTAAATGGCAAAGTTGTTTCGTATATAATTACCAACAACTTTTGCATAAACAATTTTTTTGTATTACTTACCGTTTTCAAGTTATAAATTGCGCATGTATGAAAAATCCAATAGAGCGGTTTAGGGCAGTTCAAGTACACATTTGCAGTTTTACTATTTTTTATTTTTTTTCATGATTGAAAAACAAAATCAGGGTGAAAAAGTGAAAAAACACTTTTTTTTGAAACTTTAGCGCCACCTACAATGGGCATTTTTTGTTGTACGAGATTGCAACAATGACATAAATTGTAGTACTCAACGCCCTCTACAATTATGGTCGTAAAAAAATGCGTTTCAAAAAAATTTTGACAGTTTTTTTGAGTTTTTCAAAAACCGCCTACGAGTTGAACATGCCCATCGCCAAGGTGGCTTACTGACGTCATTTGGCAACAGAAAAAACAAGACTTACCCTTTAGGTTTTTTTTTCACTGAAACGATATTTTTTCGACAGATTGACTGTACTACTCGGTTATGCTCGCGCATGCATAACCGAGCGGCATAAAATATCAATTTTGATATTTGTTCGGTTGCATGTACATGCACCGATAACTGTACAGTTTTATCACATACACGCATGGCCTCCATTATGCTAAAAAAAAAGTCCTTTAGGGATAACCATTATTTTTGTTTAATCCAAAAAAATTCAAGTGTCCTCTTATTTTTATCGTAACTTGCTCCATTTTGATGCTATTAACTTTTTACAGTGATCATTAAAAAGTTATTTCCGAGGACTTTAAAAAATGTTCAGGAAGTATATGTCATAAAATGCATCATGTTTCCCGTTATCTAGGTTTGAATACTTAGATTTAGGTACTCGCCGAAAAAAATATACATAGAATTACCTATAGCTCACTTTGACTTAATTTTAGAAGGTTTTTCAAAGTAGAGGTTTGTTTGTTGCTGAGGTCTGCTTCAATTTTGGTAATAATGGATATTTTGTAAAAACTTATAGTTTTTGAGTTATTTCTGAAAAACCACTTAAAAAGAAGTATTTTTATCACGAAAAATCACAATCTTTGATCCTTAATAACTGAGAAAGTATTGGTTTATTCCACAAACTCTCAAAAAATTTGTCTCTCTATCGATTTCTGGAGTTATTTTTATTAAAATAATTTTCTACCCCCCCGGAAAGGGGTGGCATCTACCCCCAGGGCAAAAGCGCAAGTTGGCACTATATCACTTTTGTTTCTTAAGGTATCCCCCACCTTCTCACCAATTTTTATGAAAATCGATGGAGATTCAACGAAATCGGAGATGAAAACCTTCATTGACTGAACTATTTACATTAATTTATAATGGGATGGGGCCAAAAATTTATAATCTCGAGCTAGAAATACTTCTTGCTTCAGAAGCCTCATTAAACAGTTAGTCCTGGCCGCGTCTACAGTCGTTCGCACCAACTAATCCGTCTGGTCTGGCGTAAACAGTTAGTCCTGGCCGCGTCTACAGTCGTTCGCACCAACTAATCCGTCTGGTCTGGCGTAGTCAGTCATGGCCCGTTCTTCTTATTCCATCTATGGGGAAGGTAGGAACCCAGGCGTAGGAACATTAATGGACCCCGCTTATAATAATGAAGAAACCCAAAACCTTCTTATAAAAACGTAATTTAAATCGGTGTTAAAATAAAGCATCATATTGTATTCAGTTTATATTGTCCCATGGCCATGGGGTCAGATAAAATTAAGATTACTGAATGCATGTAACATTGAACCAGAAGAGGGAAAAACTAACATACTGAATCATCTGTGTTTCAGTCTCACCACTATTTTTTACTTTCAACTTCCTATAACAATGAATCACAATAATGTTTAACCATTAAAATTTTGAACAAATGATCTAAAAGTCGAGGTCGTAGAAAAAAACACCAAACGCCATGTTTCTCAATTTTTATTGGTAAATTCACATTCAAATTATAGATCACGTCGATGACAGATGTTACATTATGGATTTCTACAGACAAAATTTTGTTATTATTTAAATTTACTATGATACTGTATTGGTACTTTCAATTTCTAACTCTACTGCTGCAATAGCTACATCGATTTTAGGTGCGTAAATGCTTCAAAATTCCCATTTCAGGAGTGAGTCAGCAATGAGACCGTCAGAAAAATAGAAAATCGAAAATACACAATGACATCATTCATTTACGAATTCACGATACTGATCGAAGAACATCAAAAAATATCTCTATAATAATATAAATCGACTACTCACATATTCGGAACAAAAATTTCTTAAAAGTCACGATTTACGTGACACAAATGGAACAGATGATAATGATGGTAGTTTACTCTAATCGATACTCGTTAATGATTGCGAGCAATCTTAATCGCGGCCCGAATAGCGCCTGCGCAATTAGAATATAATAATTATATTATTTAAGAAACATCACACGCCGCGCGCGCGGACAAATCGCCTGAGATTCAATGCCCGCGGCTCGGATCGCATTCACCTCCAGTCGCACCGCTCTCCTCCACAGTAAAAACACTATTAAATAATCACGGGGCAATTTCAGTCCGACTCAGTTTACCAATCGAGTGACTAATAATAAATCTAACACCCCATCCGGCTGGCTACTCGCTTAAACTAACATTCGCCAAGTCATCGAACAATGGGAGACGGAGACCGCTGTAGTTTGTGACGGATGACAAGCTTTGGCATCGATAAATAGACATAGCATAGACTCGATAGACGAACATAGATTTAAACCCACTTAATCGGGAATATACTTACTCGTGCCGTTTTATTACATAACGTAGCAAATACCGTACCGTACATAACGTGACGTTTTTTGCTAACACCAACGCAAAATGTCATACCTCCAGCAGGTACATACTTATAATGTTTATCACTTAAAACTCTAAATATAAAACAATCTAATTGTCGAAACAAGGAAACCTGTTTCTGAAACAGTCCTCAAAGTTAAAACGTCGTAACAACCCTTACAGGTGTGTTTAATTCATAACATAGGGCATCCGTGCGTAGTTAAAAGTTAATCGGCTTAGACCTTAACACTTATTATTTCTCTATCTACAATAATACAATAAAATGAAAAGTCTAAAAAATATTTTCGTGTACAATTTATTATACATTTTCGGTTACCCTCACAGGGGTTTATTGGATCACAAACAATAAAATCAACTGGTACTGTGAGAGAACGACCAAGCTTTTTGCTATGTTCGTCTATTTCCATAGGTAAGTAGAAATGTACGAGGGGGGGGACAATATTACATTGGCGATTCACAAACGGGGTTTTCGAGTTGTCCGATTCGCTTTTCAATATTGCACGCAAATCTTGTTGACTTCTCATCGAGATCAACAGCGTTAGTAAACCGCCAATGTAATAGAAACCTACGCTGGACAAATATGTATCACTGTGCACTCCCTATCTATAGTCAATTACATAGTTTTTAAACACGTTGTTAACATAAATACCACATGCCATTACTGTGGTATGACCATTTTTTTGTCGTCCAAATAAAAAAATATTTAGTTTAACATGAAAAATTTTTCTTTTGAATTGTATTATTATTGTATTTTGAAGTGTACAATATCGACTAAATTTTTGGCTGATAACAAATCACAAGTGCGTGTTGACTGTTGATATACTTTTTCCCTTGTGTGAATTCTTTGATGTTTGGATAAATTACTAGTTTGAGTAAAACTACTATCACAGATGTTGTTACATTTATAAGGTTTATCTTCCATGTGAAATCTTTGATATGTGAAAAAATTACCAATTTAAGTTATTCTTTTTTATAAGGTTTCTCTCCTATGTGAGTTTATTGATGTGTGGACAAATCACTACTAGCAGTATTTTTTTATGTCTATAATCTTTTATCCCAGATGTTACATTTGCGAGGTTTCTCTTCTGTGTTAATTCTGTGATGTCTGGTTAAAACGCTACTAGTAGTAAATCTTTTATCTCTGACGTTATATTTGTAAGGTTTGTCTCCTGGATGAAATCTATGACGTCTGGCTCCATGTGAATTCTTTTTATTGCAGACGTTACATTTATAACATTTCTCTCTGCCTTGTGAATTCTTTAATGTATGGACAAATCACGGCTAGTAGTAGATATTTTATAGCAGACATTATATTTAAAAGGTTTCTGTCTAGAGTGAATTCTTTGATGTGCGGACAAATCACTACTTGTAGAAAAAAAAAATAACGCAGATGTTACATTTATAATGATTCTCTCCCATGTGAATTCTTTGATATTTGGATAAATCCCTACTGGTAGAAAAACTTTTATGGCAGATGTTACATTTATAAAAGTTTTCCCTACCTACTGAATTTTGCTGTGTAGATAAATCCCTACTAGCAGTAAAAAAAAAATATCGCAGACGTTACATTTATTAGGTTTCTCTCCCACGTGAATTTATTTACAAGCGCAAGTTATACCAAGATTGTGTGTAATGCTGCGTTTCAACTTAAAGCTTGGAACAGTATATGTTAAAGGTGGCAAACAAGCATATGGCCCGCCTGATGGTAAGAAGCCACCTTAACCTATAGACGCTTGCAATAACCAAGCTATTACTGACGCTGTTGCCTACCCTAACCCAATGCCTACCCCATGGAGCCCTGGAACCTTACTCACCGACAGAAACACAACACTGCCAAAAGGTAGTGTTATTTTACTATGGTCTTCTGTAAGGTGGAGGTTACTTCCCCAGACGGGCGCTCCAATTCGAACGGAAAATCCGCTATGCCCTCTCCTCTCTTAGTTCTGAACGATCAACAATTTGCTCGCTCGGTAAATAGGAACATTAAAGCGAATGAATAAGTTCATACAAGGATATTTGACTGGACTCAGCAGACGAATGCTGTCTTGCTCAGTCATCAATGGAAACAACGCAACATTGATTTAAGCATTCCATTTACCGAGCGAACAAATGTTTGCTGACTTGGAACTGTTCTGAGCAATAGGTGGCAACGCAGCATTATAGAATCGATAAATTGCGTTCGTAATGTGAATTCTGTGATAGCTGGATAAATGATCACTTTTATTAGATCTTTTACCACAGACATTATATTTACAAGGTTTCTCCCCTGTGTGATTACTTGGATGAATGGACAAAGCACTACTTGTAGTAATTTTTTTATCGAAGACGTTACATTTATAAGGTTTCTCTCCCATGTGAATTCTTTGATGTGTGGACAAATCACGACTAGTAGCTTAGATATTTTATAGCAGACTTTATATTTAAAGGGTTTCTGTCCAGTGTAAATTCTTTGATGTGGACAAATCACTACTAGTGGTAGATCTTTTATCGCAGACGTTACATTTTAAAGGTTTTTGTCCAGTGTTAATTCTGTGATGTCTGGTCAAAACACTACTTGTAGTAAATCTTTTATCTCTGACGTTATATTTGTATCACTCCTGGGTGAATTCTGCCACGTTTGGATCTGTGTGAATTCTTTGATATGTGGACAAATCACTACTTGTAGTAAATCTTTTATCGCAGACGTTACATTTATAAGGTTTCTGTCCAGTGTGAATTCCTTGATGTGTGGACAAATCACTACTTGTAATAAATCTTTTATCACAGACGTTACATTTATAAGGTTTCTGTCCAGCGTGAATTCTTTGATGTGTGGAAAAATCACGACTAGTAGTAGATCTTTTATAGTAGACATTATATTTAAAGGGTTTCTGTCCAGTGTGAATTTTGTAATGTGTGGACAAATCACGATTAGTAGTAAACTTTTATAGCAGACGTTACATTCAAAAGGTTTCTGTCCAGTGTGAATTCAAATATTACTTTTGTAATGATTCTCTCCCATGTGAATTCTTTGTTATTTGGATAAATCCCTACTTGTACAAAAACTTATGGCAGACGTTACATTTATAAAAGTTTTCCCTACTTAGTGATTATTTGATGCGCAGACAAATCACTACTAGCAGTTTTTTTTATCGCAGATGTTACAGTTATTAGGTTTCTCTCCCATGGGAATTAATAAATGTTGACTTTAATTAGATTTTTTATCGCAGTGTTACTTTTATTATAAGGTTTCTTCGCCTGTATGAATTCTTTAATGACTGGATAAATTATTGCTTTTATTTTTTTATTGCATATATTATATTTGTAAGATTTCTCTCCCATGTGAATTGTTTGATATAAGGATTCATTAATCCTTATATCAAACAATTCACATGGGAGAGAAATTTGATGAACTTGGGCCATTGCCCAATCTCCCTATTCCATCCACAGGAAAGGCCTGTACCCCAGTAGTGGCGACATTAATAGGCTGATGATGATGGATTAATTAATTCTTTTAGTAAATCTTTTATCACAGATACTACAATTATTCGGTCCTTCTTTCCGATCAGTTTTAATATGGCGTTTATTTATCGAATGTCTACGGGTGCTTGTTCTTTCTCCATTTTTATTATTATCATAAAAATTTATTTTATTAGTCATAATTATTTTACTATTAATATTATTTTCGTTAGCTACTCCGGTAATTTCAGTATGAGATTTACATATATGACTATCTATTTATTTTTACAAAAAAATATATATTTAAGGATCACATATCAAAATATCTTTATGTTTTGTGTCTTTGTTGTTTTTTGTTTTGCCACATTGTTGTTTTCGAAACTATATTTTGTGAAAATATTTAGTTTAGAGAGACTGTCCTTATTTTTGAATTCTGTAAATCTCTTTGGATCATCAATTTTCTGTTCCCATGTTTTCTTCGGTTGTTCTTGACACTGTTGGAGACTTGAGTTGGTTTTCATTGTCAATTTTAATGATCGGCTTACATTTCTTGGGCAGTTTTGCTCTTGTCTATTTTTGATCTTGCATCTCCTTGAAATCCAATTTAGACTCCAGTTTCGCTATCGTGAAAGTAGCCTTCAGTTAAACCTCTTTTGAAACACGGTGGCACGGAAAACTTCCAATGCCGGCACTTCACTTGGCTATTTGGTTTGCTATATCTAAACGAGACATCAGTCTGTCCTTTTCATTCCTTATAAAGCATGATAAGTATAGACTGCTGTCAAGTTTACAAACAGCAAATACGAATAGCCAAGTGACGTGCTGGCATAAAAGATATCAGGTTGTCGCTTCACAATCGTATTTAATTGTCTATGGGAATCTTAGACTCAGAACTGATGAGTTGCAACTGGAGCTCAATTGCCTTGAGTGATATATCTGGAATCTTTTTGAATTTTCTAATAAATAAATATAGAACAATGTAACATAGGCATGTCAACCATGTCACCCGTTAGAAGCGAAATATCAGTGATATTTTCATAAATCTCTTGATGTGGCCCATTCATTATTGAATACATACAGAAATGTGTGAAGCATACTCTGCAAGCTTGTAAAGGAGACATCATTGAATATGTCCAGTCAATTTTTGAGATGAAACAGAAGCCACTCAACATTTATAGTATCACAACTTATCAATGTAAAAAAGATCTAGAAAAATATTGAATAGCTCCATTCTCCATCAAGACCACAAATTAGAGACAGTTGCTGAAAATTTAATCGTATTCGTGATAAATAATTATGTAAAATGCTGTTGATATTTTTTATTAATAAAATAAAATCTTTGAAGTATACGTGAATTGGTTGTCTGCCACTTTAAAGGCGATTATCGCTTATTCATCTCAATCACGTTAGTGGAAAGAAACTCTTATAAAATATCAGTGATTTACATTACAAGCTTTGAAAATGATAATACCTAGTTTTCATCGATACATGAGCAATGTGACAGATAACATTGTAATATTGTGAGTTGGGAAATTATCTTAGAGTGCCAATCTGGGTCATTCAGAGCCCTCGTCACGCCCATAATATCGTATTCGATTCATGATGCCATATAGTAGTACTCAACTCCATATTAGATTTTAATTTTGTCATGCTGCTGTTGTGCGAAGTGCGTTACTACAAGATAACATAAATCGAAATTACAAGTGTCTCGGACACGGCACAGTCACTTTTAGTTGGCAACATATTCACTGGGCATAAATAATTCGTATTTTTGTAATTTTATTGCAAAGTTTTATATGTATTCACACACAAGTGATTTTGTTACAAATATTTATCGACAAGATAAATGTTTTAAAAGTATTCTCTAAATCTTGAGATTTTAACGCACTCGCACCAACAAAAGATAAAATAATCCAAAATGACGACACATCTCTCTCTCTCTCTTACTGACAAGTGTGAAAGGAACTTGTATCGGCGTTTAAAATTCGTTCATTTCTTTACTAGCGTGAAGTTATAAGGAGACTGTATGCTGCGTTATTACTTAGCTCAGAACAGTCTATATCAAAAAGGTGGTAAACAACCCCGCCTGACGGTAAAAACTCAAGTGCCAGCTATCATCTCGCCGTTGCCTAAGCTAACCCACTCCCCTACCCTGTGGAGCCCTGGAACCTTACTCACCGACAGAAATACGACACTGTTTGCAAATGTTTGCTCGCTCGGAACTGTTCTGAGCACTAGGTGGAAACGCAGCAATGCAGAATCAATAAATTCGTTTTTAATGTGCACAGTGATGGCTGGATAAATGATTGCTGCAATTAATTTTTTATCGCAGATATTAAATTTACTTAAAAGGTTTATCGCTTTTGTGAATTCTGTGATGGCTGGGAAACGCATTATTACAGAATTAATAAATTGCGTTTGCAGTGTGCACAGTGATACGTGTATTTGTCCAGCATAGACTTATAGTAAGTATAGGTAGCGGCAAACTTCTTCAGCAAAACCACAATCAAGTAGACGTTTTTGTACTATCCGACAAAGATCTTTATAAATGTGGCGAAAATTGGCACGAACGCCGCCGTCTTTGTAAACGTCATATATTGTATGCCATTTACGTCGACCGTGGCGCCCCCAAGAATTGTCACTCACATTCATAAAGATCCTTGTGGCACTATATGTCAATTGCTAGTGCGTAGGCTTCATAGTGGTATAAGAATAGAGTAGGGGAGATATAGACTCTACTACAAGAGGAAGTGTCCCTCTAATAGAAAGAGAAAGAAGATGAGAGACCGCTAGCTTTCTCTATCTAATCGCGCATGCGCAAGCTTCTTACTATTTCGTTGTGATGCTTGGACCAACTATTGGACAGACGACTGCGCATGCGTCACAAGAGAGAGAGATAGTTAGAGGTCTCTCATCTTCTTTCTCTTTCTACTAGTCGGACACTTTTAGAGCCGCCTTTCCCACTCCATTCTTATACCTCTATGGTAGGCTTTCTTGTTCAAGAAGTTTGCCGGGGTGTAGGTATATATGGGTATGGATATGCAGCGTGGTGCGGGCGGTGCGTGTTCAGTGCGGGGTCGCTTACGAGTCCCACCAGTCGGGGCCGCCGCTGCCGCCGCCACCGCCGCCGCCGCCGTACGACCCGCCGTAGGAACCACCGTAGTTGCCGCCGCCGCTGTAGTTGAAGCCTGTAAGCGAATACAATTCACAAATTAAATTTCGTTCAATTAGGGACTGGCAAATGCTGTGTAACACTGCATCAAGTCTCGCCATCATATCTATCGTCTGGATTCTAAACGTCGCGGCGACATGAAACTAGCGCTTGCATGATTAACGGTGCTTTTTGATAGTCGAGAAATGAATTCGCAATAGTGAGTTACGCTAACTCGCTTTTTTAGGGTTAGAAAGATAGAGCCTCTTTTAAAACGGGTTTGTGGCATTACCCCTGTAACAAAACCGCTGCACAGCTGCCTTGCCCGCTGCCGTATAATGGCGCTCCTTGTGCGGGTCACTGAGCTAAGTCAGAGATGGTGGAGAGGCCGGCGGAGCACGGCGCCTGGCGCGGCCGCGTACGGAAGTCCCGCGCGCCTCGCTAGCTGCCGTATGATGGCGGGTTGTGTGTGGGTCATTGACCTGAGCCAGAGATGTAAAAGAGGCCAGCGGAGCGAGGGGCCTAGCGCGCCCGTTTACGGAAGTCCCGCGCGCCTCGCTTGCTGCCGTATGATTGCGAGCCGTGTGCGGGTCACTGAACTGAGCCGAAGATGGCGGGGGCCGGCGGAGCGCGGCGCCCGGCGCGGCTGCATACGGAAGTCCCGCCGCCTCGCCCGCTACCGTATGATGGCGAGCCGTGTGTGGGTCACTGACCTGAGCCGGATATGGCGGAGGGGCCGGCGGAGCGCGGCGCCTGGCGCTGTTGCGAACGGAAGTCCCGCGCGCCGAAGCCGCTGCCGCCACCACCACCGCCGCCTCCGCTGCCGCCGCCGAATCTGCCGCCGCTCGACCGGCTGCCGGTGCGACGACCACCGCCACCAAGGCGACCGTCCGCCGCTGTGCTCGTCAACCAACTGGAAACACGACACTTGTTATGGCGGCACATAACATGATCAATTCTAATGACGCAAGTCAAGCAATACCTAGTCCTATCGCGAATGTTCAAAGTACAATTCCGAGACGAGCGGCAGACTGCAACCGCAGGCGATACTGCAGCTCTGCGGTCGCTGTTGCTTTTAAAAGCACAACGACATGCGGCGACTGCACAATGCATAGAACCATGCCTCAGTTACTCCAGTCTGCGCTGCGGTCGCTACGTGCTGCGGGCGCAGGGACGCGCCGCAGCTACAGGCCGCACCTGTCGCCGCGTTCGGAATCAATTTCATAGAGATTCATAGAAGAACTGGTGCCGCTGGATTTTACGGTTGCAGTTTGCGGTCTGCAGCCAGTCGCGGAATGGCGTTTTAATCGCGACAAAATACTGATTGTATTGAGGACAATGACTGGATGTCAAGCTAGAACTAGTACTCACTTGGGCACATCCTGTTTGGCTTCGACGAGCAACTCGACGAGATCTCTGGCGAGGCCGCGGTTAGTGTCGTTGAAGAAAGACGTGGCGACGCCCAGGTTGCCCATGCGGCCCGTACGACCAATACGGTGCACGTACTCTTCCACGTCCGAGGGGAGGTCGAAGTTTATCACGTGGCGCACGTGAGGAATGTCCAGACCTAAGGAAAATAAGATGTTGTGAGTTTGTTGAATCTATTGATAATTTCAGCTGATGAGCATCAGTATTTTTCGGTGATTACAAATTAAAAACACATAAATCTATAGTTATATCAAAAAATACGAAAGTAACTATCTAAAGCTTTTTATGCAATATACTAAAACAATTTTTATAAATTTTGGTACTTATGGAAATAATGGGGACCATATTTTAAGGAAATAAAGATCCAATCTGTTAATTATATTGCATTCTATTTTTATGTAAAGCAAAGTAATGTAAAGTATTAGGAAATTTAAAGCAATTAAGTAAATATATAAACAAACAACACAATAGCAACTGTCCATTTAACTTTCAGCTATACTTGTCTGCACTTATGTTCAAGTTCAATCATCTTTGTTATGTTAATCTCTGTAAACGAACAACTAGGCTAATATTTAAATTGTCTTTTTTATAAGTTCTCCTATATTGTAGAATTGTTTTGGTTAAGTTGGATTGTAATTATTATGTCATTCAGCTGGGCCGAGGGCCTGGTGATCACAATACAGGTATTTCAATACCCATGTCAGTCACCAGCTTCTCACAGCCTACAGATTGATCATTTCTGTGTTTACCTATTACAATAGTATCATGTTGTGAGGAGAAATGAATAAATATATTATTATTATTACCCTAAAATCTTAAGGCTACTTTCTTTCGCGTAAATAGAAATATGAAGCTTGTCAAATACAAGGTGAAACTTTGTATCGTTGATTTATTTAAGTGTGTATGGTAGATTATCTTCGCTATGCAGAAAAAAATCTTTATTTAGTGGCACTAGCTTATGTTTGTATGTTAGCAATTTGTATGTTCTATCACTCAAAAACTACTGAACGGATTTTGAAGGAAATTTGGTACAGATATAGTTTTATGACCTGGAGTTATGTCTCAAACATAGAATTTTAGTTTCCCGATATTAAAAAAAACTGAAGTTAACGCGGACGAAGTCACTTACGGCCGCTAGTAGTATAATACACTCAGCGGCACGGAATCTTGGCCAAGCGCTTATCTCGCGATAGCAAAAGTTTTAAGTGTTTCTGAGGAATGTCTGTTGTGCAGGTATGTCAAAAAATGTTTTTTAAAACAGTTGCTCAAAAAGTGGCGTATTACAGGGACGTGTAGCGTTCGGGATCTGGGCTATTTCACACTCGTGCTTTTTTTTTGCCTTTTCCGAACTCGTGCGTTTTCTTTCCCAACTGTCAAAATTATTTCTATTAAAAAAAACAACCATGAAGTTTTAACTAAAAAAATCCTAGAAGTTTTTGCGATTCATGCAAATAGGTTTATTTGTTTTTAAAAAGAAGCTACCTATACTAATTTTTCCAATATCAAAATTAATTAATTGATTGAATGAGTTAGGTAAGGTTTCAGTTCATTTCATATCATTAAATTTCAATTTCATTTCTTATAATAAAAAATACTAAGTACTAAAGACTTGGCTGTATGGGCAGTTCTCTTTGCCTACCAGAATGGGTGAAAAAAAACTGCTTTCATTCTACGGTTGGCGCCATTTTCCGAAATTTTCTTTGTGAGTTTAGTTGTTTTTTACACAAAATGAGTAATTTCGACCTAAATTTTTTTGAATTAACTCCACCGGCACTCAGTATAATTGCACAAAATGCTTCGGAGAACATTTTACCGGAAAAGTCAAAAATTCGCTACATACGATGAATTTATTGCGTGGAAAGAAGAGAAAAAAGCAAATAGTTTTTCAGAAAATGTTATGTTGGCATACTTTTCCGAACTCTCAGCAAAATTAAAACCTTCTACGTTATGGTCAAGGTTTTCGATGATAAAAAGTATGCTGAAAATAAGGAACAACGTGGATATAAGTCAATATCCAAAATTAAATTCTTTCTTAAAACGACAATCAGACGGCTTTACCAGTAAAAAGTCGAAAATATTAACATCGAATGACGTGGAAAGGTTTTTGAAAGAAGCTCCCGATGATTGTTATTTAGCCACAAAGGTAATTTATTAATAAGTATAAATATCTACATTTTCTTTAGTGTTCAGTTTACAAAATCGCAAAATACAGTCAATACATTATTTATATGAACCAAATCGTTTTTTTTAGGTTGCTCTGATTTTTAGCGTTGTTGGAGCTTGCCACAGAGAGGAGTTAGCCAATATTACTTTAAAAGATATTGAAGCCCATGGAGAAATGCTACTTATCAAGATTCCAAACACAAAAAATAAGATACCACGAAGCTTTGTTGTTGAAGGAGATTTTCTCACAATAGTGAAAAAATATATGAACCAGCGGTCCCAAAAAGGAAAATCCGACCGTTTTTTTTCAAAATTTCCAAAAAGGGAAGTGTACAGCTCAAGCAATCGGCATAAACAAATTTGGTAATATGCCAAAAGAAATAGCTACAATTCTTGGTCTGCCGGATGCTGAGTGTTATACTGGGCACAGCTTCAGAAGGACCTCTGCTACATTATTGGCAGATTCAGGAGCCAATTTGACGTCCTTAAAGCGACTAGGTGGTTGGAAATCGGACAAAGTTGCAGAAAGCTATATTGGTGATTCATTAAACAACAAACTAGAAACTGGGAAAAAGATCACACAATCCATTAATTTAAGGTCCAGTCCGTCTCCTTCACATGCTGAAGAGAACGTTCGTCCATCTACGAGTACCTTCGTTGATAATGATAATTCATCAGATCCAATTCCATCCACTAGCAAACGCCATTGTATGACAAATATACATGAACAATCATACGAAATTAATAATAGTTTGTCTCAAACAGTAAATATGCAACGTAAAACTCCCCCAGTTAGTATAAAAAACTGTAGCAATTTCAATGTATATGTGAATTATAACTTTTATAAGAAATAAATGATTAGTTAATTGAGTTTATTGTGTTTTTATAATTTGATTAAATTGCTTCATTTTTTCGCAACTGTATTAAAAATAGTCGTTCAGTACACGTACGGAACCGTCATTGCAACTCGTTCCGACTGTAACTCTTTGCAATGACAACCATTCCGTACTAGTAATGAAATATACTATACTTTTAGTTCAAGAGGGTAATCCATTATGTTTAAGTGCACCACGACGAAACTTTTATTTTACAGTTGAATCGGGTCATTTGAGCGACTAAGTTCACGTTTTAAATTTGTGTGTTGTGAAAAGTTTACTGTTCGGTTTTTGAATTATTGTGATTTTATGATTTTAATTCAATAAGTAAAGGTGCTTTAAAAGCAATAAAAATGCCTCTAACACCGGCACAGGTTTCACAAGCCGTTGCGTTAATTAAGCAAGGGCTGACACAGCGTGAAGTTGCTATTGCTCTTAACGTACCACGGTCATCAATGCAGTATGCCCTTAAAAGATACGACGAAGATACCAGGAGGAAGATACAGCCCAGTACACCCGCAGGCCAGGCAGTGGAGGCGTAAGGTGCACATCGGCCCGAGACGACCGCTTTATTGTCCTGGAGATTTTGAGAAACCGCTACCTGACCGCTATTGAGATACGCCAGCGGCTTCAAATTGTGAGAGGCGTTAATGTTAGTGAGCGTACGGTGAGAAGACGAATGGAGGAAGTCAATTTAAAAGCTTGTAGACCAGCACGAGGTCCAGAACTTCTCAGACAGCACCGAGTAGCTCGACTTCACTTCGCACGAGAACACGTTAACTGGACCCACGAGCAATGGGCTAGAGTACTGTTCACAGACGAGTGTCGAATAGCTTTACGTTCTCCAGATGGTCGAGAACGAGTGTGGCGAAGAAGAGGAGAGCGGTTTTTACCCGTTACTACCACTCAAACAGTGAGTTTCCATCGAGGCTCAATAATGGTATGGGGAGGTATAAGTTCCGACGCACGTACAGAGTTGGTTATCGTCGATAATCGGCTAACAGCTGTTCGATACATCGAGGAAGTTCTTCAGGAATACGTAATGCCATATTCAGGGTTCATTGGACACGACCAATTCCTCCTAATGCACGCCCACACGTTGCACATTGCGTTGAAGAATATCTGGAAGAGGTTGGCATACAAAAATTGCAATGGCCAGCTCGTAGCCCAGACTTAACCCCAATTGAGCATATCTGGGACATGCTGAAAAGAAAGATAAAGTCCAGCTCCAACCCGCCTGAAACTCTAAACCAGCTCCGAACTGCAGCGCTGGCTGCTTGGCGCAGTATACTGCAAGTTGATGTCCGAAACATCATCCAAAGTATGCCAGATCGAATGCAAGCAGTTATCAGGGCTAGAGGAGAGGAGGAAACACCCGATATTAAAACGTATAGACAATAACGAAAAAACCTTATTTTTTATTATGTTTTTGTAATTTATAGTGAAAAATTCCAAATTTCAGTGAAAGTGCGTGATTTTAAAAACTGATTTATTGTTGAGGTAACCTTTTAATTTCTAAGTTCTTAAACCATAAGAGACACGTATTAAAGCCACTTACCCTTGATTTATAGTCATAAATACAAATGCAAATTTTTTTATGCAAATAATCAGTAAAATCACGAGTGGCCAAGTTTCCGTGCCGGTGAGTGTATAATACTAGCGGCCGCCCGCAACTACATACGCGTGGAGTTAGTTAGGAATAAAGGTTCACTGCTCGTTCCCCGTAGGTGATAGCGTGATAATATGTAGCCTATATGTTGACCCGACTTCTTAATAATATTCGTGCCAAATTTTAAGTAAATCCATGCAGTACTTTTTGAGTTTATCCCGGACATACATACAGACAAACAAGCAAAAGTTCTAAAAACAATATTTTTGTCTTCGATCTCAATTGCAGATCACACCCCAAGTATTCTTTAAAAAAAATATTCAATGTAAAGTTTTGACTTTCTTATCATTTTATTTTATGTATAGATTACCTCTGGCGGCTACAGCCGTGGCCACTAGTATGGGCGTCTGTCCGGTACGGAAGCGGCGCAGTGCCTCTTCGCGCTCTCGCTGCGTGCGGTCCCCGTGAATCGACGTCACCGGATAACCTAGCGTGTCCAAATACTCCTCCAATTGGTCCGCGCCTGTACGAAAACACGATAAAAGAAAACTATTAGAAAAACACTCTTTTATTCATATCTGAAAATAGTATGGAAATAATGAAAAAAAAAATGTCTTGTTCTTAATTATTCACAAATATACAGCTGAACGGATTTAAAAGTTTTAATTGAGGTGAATTGAAATTTAAAAAAACTTTGTGTGATAACTTTTACACTTAAAATAATTTTGATGTGAAAAAATAACAAGTCGAGTCGAGAGGCAATAACAGGGATGCAGATTACAGGCAGCTAGTATTATTTTAAAAGAAAAATGTGTATCAATATTCAACAGAATCTTATAAATGAATGAAAACTGAAAAGAACGTTAGGGCCTTATTTCTAATCGTTTTAGGTCTACAGAATTAAACCACAACAAGTACGAATTTATGTCAAAAAATCTTACCCTTTCTAGTCTCAACAAAGACTAGTATTAGCTGGTCCTCTTCAGGACTAGAGCGCTGGAGCAGGTTGGAAGCATTCAGCAGATCCAATAAGAACGAACGTTTGTCCATCTCCTCTACCCACACAACCTTGAGACAATAATTGCACATTTTATATATTTTTCTTTTTCAAATTCCACATTATCAAATAGGAATTGACACTTTGTTATACTCACGCAACAAAAAAATATGAGATTAAATATAAGTAGATCAAAGATTTATTCTTCAAAACCATATAGAGATGGCAATGGATTTCCGTCTATATATTTATATAGAAATAACAGACTTATATACCTACTAATGGCGCCTTTAATGTTATCTTGCTGTGGTAATATGACAATGCAAATCCTACTGATCAATGTTTCACTACTTCTATTGTCTCGAGTGTCATGTTAACACTAACTTGCCTTTTTGAAAAAATATAGAATTTTATTTCGATTTACAAACATAACAAGTTTGTAGCTGATGTTCTCTTAAGACTTAAAACATAAAAATACTTGTACCGCACAATCCAACGCATATTTCAGATTGAGCATTGTTATTAATTTTGTAGTTTCTATTGTTTTCTTATTGCACAATAGGGTATTTTACAATTTTTTTGAAAACTGCTTATATATAAAGATTGGGACAAACAATTTAATAGAACAATAAAAATAAATTAATTAATGTCTTTTTTTTCTCCACTAGACCAATTATAGTTGAATTTATTTTTAATGGGTTTGAATGTACCGCCAAAACGCTCGGTTCGATGATGTCTACTGTGTAATAAAAAAAATCATAACGACATAAAACTAAGTTCAACGAACCTTTTGCGTGATATTCTCTGAGGTGGAGCCGACGCGTCCCACGGCCAAGAACACGTAGTTGTGCAGGAAGTCCTGCGCCAACACTTGTATCTGTTTCGGGAAGGTGGCGGAGAACATGAGAGTTTGCCTCTCGCCAGTTTTGGGCATTGTGTAGCACTCGACGATTTTGCGGATCTGTGGCTCGAAACCCATGTCAAGCATTCTATCGGCTTCATCGAGGACCAAGTGCCTACAATGGTCTAAGGCCACTCGGCCTCGGACCAAATGGTCCCCCAAGCGGCCTGGAGTGGCGATCAGTAGGTGGCAGCCGCGCTCCAACTCGCGGAACTGTTCGTGTATCGGCGAACCACCGTACCTGTTGTGTCAAAGAGTTAAAAAAATACGGTAGGTATATTTTATCAATCGCGATGAAACTAAACAAACTATTTTCCTTTTCAGTACTTTGAAGTTTCGGATTAATGTGTAATTTGAAGTGGGTAAATGTTTAATGAAATGCACTAATTCGATGTTCACTTTTACATTAATATAATAAAAACTTGGTAACGTTAGTACAATTGAGCTCTTATTCACTAACTGTATTGGCTGAGTCTCTGGGTTCTAATCCATTATTAGAAATACAATTCAGACATGTACAAAACAAAGCACTGTGTTCCCACACACAAGACGCTAATACCCTTATTACTTTTGTATAAACAAGCTGAGTGATAAGTTCTGAGAAACGATACACAACATATATGGTGGCCCTAATCTAACGCGACGCTTTAGGTACAGAGAACAACCCAATATAAAGGATCTTACATATGCAACCATTTAATTTTAAGAGATAGAATGGCGGCTTTTCTGCATTTCCTTACAGACACCCTGTGGTGTAAACTACACTTCCAAAAAGTAGTGTTATTTTACTGTTAAAATGTTGTTTAAGGACACCATGAGGTAAGGCTTCAGGTACTGACCCGAATCCCTACAGGCTGATAATTTATTCTTCCATTGGTTAACCATAAATAAACATAGTAAAGTTCCTTTATAAATGTCGAATTATAACGATAGGCACTGTAACCACATAATACTTACACGACACAGGGTCGCACACGGGAGCGGTAGGCGAACTTTCTAGCCTCGTCGTAAATCTGTGTGGCAAGCTCTCGAGTCGGAGCCAGCACCAATCCTAGAGGGTATTGCTTGCGTCTAACGTATGACCTACGACAAAGAAAATAGGTATATTAATTTAAATTTTTCCAATTTACATTTTTCATGAATAATAAACGGATTATTTTGCACAGTTTATTCGTATCTTGACTGAAATCTAAAGGAACTAAGAAACAAAGAATACTCCGGAAACTGCTAAATATATAGAAGGATATTAAATTATATCAAAGGCCATTAGAGAATAAAATATTTAATAACGGGAGAGATTAAGTTAATATAAATTTCAGGGTTACACTTCCACAACTTCCCAAATTTGTTAAAGTAAACACTGCTCTCTCCTCTAATCAACTCCTACAAGTGTACTCAACAGCAAAAGATCTTTAGGTTCAACGACCAAACTAAAAATTTTAATTGACATCAGTATATCATAATAATATGGTCTTTATGACATGACATGTCATTTTTATAAAAATTGAATTTAATTGCTACAAATTTTTTGTTGTTAATGTTTTTTTGTTAAATAAAGTGATATAGTAATTGATATTGATATTTCCTGAGTTTAAATTTATGTTATTAATATTTAGTAGAATTCAATGTTAGCCTACATGATTAAGGTCAATACTGTTGTACTGAAAAGTCCTGGCAAAGTCTGATATTTCAATAAAAGTCCGGATTTTTAGTCACAAAATGGAAACATTACCTACCCACATAGTTACAGTGGTATGGTCAGTAACCAGGAATAGATAGATACTCGCATTACAAATAAATTCCGGACAAATTGAAAAACCGGACAAAGTCTGGACTAGTTTCAAAATCAGGACATGTCCGAACTAATCCGGACGGTTGGTAGCCCTAGCTCTAATTGATCCCCTAACCATCTTTTGTACACAGTATAACCAAATGAAAAATCATTGAATCTTTTAAGGATTTGGAGAGATTGCTGTAAAATAAAAAAAAAAAAACAAACATAAATAGTCATGTGCAATGCCAGCATTTAAGGATAACTCACCCCATCTTAACGGGCCCTGCCTCGTATATCTGGTTGAGTATGGGCACTAGGAAGGCGGCCGTCTTGCCGGAGCCGGTCTGCGCGCAGGCCATCACGTCCCTGTGGCCCAACACTATGGGGATAGCGTACTTCTGTACCGGCGTCGGTTTGTCGTACCGGGCCATTGCGATGTTCGAACGCATTAATTCCGTCAGGTTAACCTGGTCGAACTGTGGAAAATATGTTGTTGTAGCAATGTGATCTTATCTGTAGTGGAGTGAATAGGATATTTGACAGTAAGAAAATAAAGTACCAATGGTTGGTATTTAATATAAATATCAGCAATAATTTTATTATTCTAAGAGAACAATTCTTTATAATTTTTCCGAAAAATCATTAAATAGAATTGAGTTTTATGTTCCATGGTCACGTGACCGAAAACTAAAATGACGTTACACTCTAGTAAACTTCCGGCCAGTGACATTCTGACATTATATTGTATCGTTTGACGTTTTTATGGCAGTCGTGTAACGTCACATGCTAATGAGATGTCCCGAGAAACGTTTTCGCGGGAGGTTTTTTATAGGAATACACAGCATTAAGTTGTGTATTTCTGAAAATGAATATCCCCTTTTTATGGACTCCATAAACATAAGTAATTAACGTGAGATCGTTTTCTAAAACTGGTCAAATACCCTATTAGTGTAAGGAAATTAAATATGTAAATATTAAGCAGTCCTATAGAGGTGACTCCCGGTAATATGGCCTCAGCAATTCGACTCTCCTGTAAACCAACCATGCCTATAACAGCACAGCCACACATCAAGTTACTGTGGCGACGACCTCTACATGCCCCACAGTGTCGGAAATCCAAAGGGTTTCCTCTGAGCTGGGTGATGGTAGCTCGGTACCGCGGCCCGACTGTTGTTTTTTTTGAGTGTGTATGCTGTTGGTCGCAGATGACCTTTACAGCGTCACCGGGTTTTGCCGCTCGACTGATGTTGGTCGAGCATTGTATATATGGGGAGCCTCCGAATTTCACTTGCACGATTTAGGCTTCCATACTATTGCGATCGCAGCGCAGGTAGCACCATCATCCCGCCATAGAGGAGGTGAGTGATTATTTCCTCCATGTTAGTTATATGTGGGGCATGTCAATGTCGCCGACACACTACCACAAACTGATATGTATGTCAAGCAATAAGTAACTTGACCTGTGTACCTTGACTGCCTGTAACTCCGTCCTACCACTTTGATATACAAATAATGGCGCGATTACACTTGATCGTTAGCGCGAATACGAGTGCCAATGGAATTCGGGTAAAACACTAAGTGAAAATGAACGGAGTCGAGTACGCCCGTATTTGGGTAGATTTCCTTTTGTTTACCCGACACCCGTCGTCCAGCTCGTATTTCAGTGTAAATATTGCTTCGGGTGCCTGAATTCGAGTAATGTCTTTCGTGCACCCAAATACAGGCTAACGACCAAATGTAATTATACCATTATGAAATTTTGTTTGTGGTAGTCCTATAATCTACACAACAAATTTGATAACCGACAGCACCTTGCAAAAGGTTTGTCGAATTACTGGGGGTGAACTGTATATTGCTATCCCAAGATTAAAAGGTAAACATTATGAACGATAATCAGAAACAGCTTAGATATTATAACTTTATATCTACTCATCATCATAATCAGACACAACAAGACAATTTAACGACTCCTTATTTAATTATGTATTAAAATGTTTTACAGTAGATTTTTATACCTGAAGCGTTTCTTTAATTGACAATCTTTTGAATGTTTCCTCTATTTAATAATGATACATTTGAATTGTGCCATTTCATATCATGAGTATTGTAACTGATAAAAGGTCGGTCATTGAATTTTTAGCTCTATAACTATCTGTAGGTAGGTAGCAGTCAGAGATCACGTTTCCCCTTCATTTCAATGTAATTAGATACTTTTTATCTCTCATTCACATTCAGCAACAACAGCAATGAGGTCAGAGTTGCAGAAAAAAGTTTTTGTTACCTCATTAATAAATAAATTACATTAATATAATCAAATTTAAAAAAAAAACAAAATGTAGAAAGTTAATTATAACTTTCCAATGCTTGTATTGTAAGAAAGTTTTATTAGCATAATAATGGACTGTATATTGACTGATAGATAATCTTGTGCCATTGTATAATGAAGCCTAAATTAAAATAAAACATGTACATATTATATTTTTTTAATCATGTTGATTGTTTTGTTGCACATTGATGTTTAAATTTAAAGAACATATTACTAGAAAAAATTCGGTACTCGAACCCTACAACCTACAATGCGAAGAGATGGCGCTGCCTTGTAGCTTAAAAAAGGCTAGTAAGAATTCGACACGGCCACCAGGGCCGCGGTAGCATAATATTGGTCAATGCATTCGCCGGGATAGCGAAGAGTGCGGGTTCGAGTCCCGTCTGCTGCCTGTTCCAAGTGGTTTTTTTTCTAGTAATATTTTCTTTAGATTATGTACATATTATTTCCCGTTTTTTAAAGCTTCATGCATTTAAGCAGGGATTGTTTACCGGTTAATTTTAAAACCTAAATCAGTGTCAAGTACATTAGGAGCGTTTTATTTAGGTTTGGCTCTACCTTAATCCTAAAAAAAACGGTTTTCCTAAAAAGCGAAATCAAATCGGTTTTAAATCAATTTAGCGGTTTTTAAAGGGTTTCATTTCGCTCTTACTGACGGCTGAAATAAATACACAACTACAAAATGAATAACTCGACTCACTAGACATTAGCAAACGTGTTAATAAATGCATCAATCTCTGAGCATTAACAAGTTGTGACTTAATTAGTTCAAACAAAACAAACTTCAGCGTTGCCGACACGTGCACGTGTCGCTTTGGCTTAAACCGGTTTATTAAGGTTTTAGGTACAGCTTTCATTTCGGACGCATTCCGAACGAAACCTTTACTAAAAACCGGTATTAAACTTTATTTACCGGTATTTTTGAAACCGGTTTCAAGCCCTGCATTTATGTTCAATCTTTGAATGTTACTGTCAAGATTATGTTCTCACACTTTTCTCTAGGAAATATGGTGTCTTACAAGCAGGTGACGTCACATGGCTATTAAAACGTTAAGACTAATTTATATTTATTAACATGTAACATTATTACGCATTTATTGCCTGTAAACTAATTGTTCACTAAATGAGGTATGCTATAACTTACGCTGGTAATACAGTCCGGTACGCGGTCGCCGCTGGCCTCAACCGGTATATCCTCGTATTTGGAGAAGTTGATGCCCGTATTTCCGGTGCCAAACAGCTCCAACTCCTGCCGCTCGTCGCGAGGTAGCGGGATCGTCCAGTCATTCTTTAACAAAATGTGAATAGCTGTCAACAAACTCAAGAAAAAAGTTAAATAAACGTGATATAACATTCGGCAATGCATTTTCAAAATTCGTTGAATATTAAAGAATGTGCGAGAGTTACTCCCAGTGTTAAAATAAATATATATAGAATAAAATCTCAATTCTGAAATAAAACCTAATCACTAGTGCTTAAAAAGTACTTTTATTAACTACTTTATTTGTAACCACTTGGTTTTATTTGCTTTGAATGGCTTATTTTAGTTTTATGAAACTCCTTTCTGAAGTGGTATTTTTATTGAAAGTTTGCGTTAATTTATTGCTACTACTCATAAAAAGTTGAATGATACCAAAACACAAATAAAACTTAATTTCAATCTCTCCATTGCTTCATTATAAAGAAACCAGGCCATGGAATGCGTACTTAACAAAGATCTACAGCTCAACATGCATACAAATTTAATGTATTAATGTCTGGTTGGTCTATTAATGTCAGCAGATCATGTACACATCGTTTTGATAAAGATATAGTGGTCTCATTTAATTTCAGTGTTTTATTAATTTACTTATCAACAAAGAAGAGATATAGCGCTATTTCAATGAAAAAAATAGACAATCAATAGTAAGGGCCTGGCAACATGACTACTGCGCGGCGTCAGTCATAAGCGTGAAACAGCGCCTGAGTGCGGCACGTTGCCGCGTCACATCGAGCAGATATACATACAGTGCCGCAGGGCCGTAGCTGGGAACGACTTAATATGATTGAAAAAACCATATAAAGGCAACAATTACAGACCAATATTTTATTTACTTCTAGGAGGAGACATTTTATCCTACCTGTAATTTATCACTATCCTGTCTTAAATACAACTCTGGCTACGGCTCTGCAGTCGCGTTGAGTGAATGCAGGGTATTGCATCGCGTAGTGCATGGCAAGGCAACGTCTCTGCTCTATAGCTACTTTCTAAGTTATGGATCTGTGATATATCTGTGGTAGTGTCAACTCACCTCGTCCCTGCCACCACGGGTGCTCGTGCGACGCACGTCGTCTGACGCCCAGCGAGTGTTGTTAGAGCGCTCCTCGACGCGCGGCTCCGGCTCCTTCCAGCGGTCGTTGCGCGGTTGCGGCGGCTCGGCGTACTCCTCCTCGCGACGGTCGCGCTGTTCACGCGGTCTTCCGCCGCCGCTGCCGCTGCCGCCGCCTCCGCTGCCACCGCCGCCGCCGCCGCCTCCGCGATCCGATCGCTCGCTCCACCGGCCGCCACCGCTGCTACCACCGCCGCCGCCGCCACCACCGCCGGCCCCGTCGCTCTCAGACCAGCGATCAGAGTCTCCATTTTGATACCCTGGATCACGACCTGATAACGGAAAACAATGTGAGCAAACGGAAAATGCTAGTTTTGGTTTTAGCTTGGATGCATGACTTGACTACAGACGGAACAAATAAATAGAATTTTAATTATAAACTATATTTCTGATTACGATTCAACAGTGATATTGATTGATGATTTAATAGATTCAACTCATGTCAAGTCAAAGATCAAGAACGTTTAAGACAGTAGAGACATAAAACTCGGTTTATGCAACTAATTAAGACTCTAAAGACCTTAACATAGAGTACATGAGTACACATGTCAAAGTTCACCAAATGTAATCAGGATCTCCAACCCTGGTGTGTGTCACTGGCTGAGGCAGTTTGAAGAGTAACAATACGTTGACACGGTGTTTCCCGGAGTCGTAGTCTGGGTACTTTATATCTGAGGTGTATGGTCTAAAAATACAACATCTAAATCTTAGGCAGTAAATAACTTCAAATCCCTACTGATTGATGGATGGATGCAAGACTTACAAGCATAAACAAAAAGCAGTTACAACAGCAAAGGTTTAATATTTGTTTAACTACTGATATTTTCTTTTGCATCATCAGCAATACTATATAATGCTATCAAATGCCACCACCAATCTTATAACTTTTTTGTAGTGAATTAGATAACAACTTCAGCAAAGCTATAGCTTTCGTTAAGAAGCATAATATACAATATCTTCAGTTAACAATATCAAGTCTACAGAGTCTAATATTTTAGTTTATGTACCTAGTACGAGTTTTGATAGTTTTCGAAAACTATGTTTACATAAGTCTATAATATTGGATAATAACGCTGTAATTTTGGCTGGAGCCAAATTACCTGACAATTCACAAAATTCTAACACCAAGATATTAAGCAACCAGTTTGAAATAGAACTAAAGCCTATGCGCCGCACCCACGCCAAAGGAATCAAAGCAGGCTTTTATATTACGGAAAAGTGGTTGACAGATTTACCTGAGTATTGAGAAGTTTGGACAGTCTTCATCAGTTTTTTTTTTGTAATTAGGTAGGCAGGTGCCTCGCCACCCCACCTGGTGTTAAGTGGTGTTGAAGTCCAGACGTGAAGACAGCTGGTGCAGCAGTTATGAACTACCACACCAGTCATCCTCACCTTGCTGGTCTGTATAAATGCTTCTTCGCGCCTCTTTTGAAGGACTCCGTATAGGAAGGAGGGAACACGTTTAGCTTTCGAATACTTTCAAAACTAGTACTAAGATACTCTATCTGTGTATCAATGATTGTTCTAAACAGTCAAGTGATATTACCGCGGTCCCTGCGCGGGAATCGCGAATCGTAGCCGCGATCGTAGTCACGGTCGCGGTCACGCTCGCGGTCGTCGCGCCGACCACCACGGTCGTAGTTTCTAGAGCTGCTTCCGAATGATGAACGGTTGTCTCGCGATGGTTCGGTAGGACGAGCGTCTAAGCTCTGACGCTTAGACTCTTCCCCTGTCAACAGACTGAGCTTCAGAGCTTATCTCGGTTTGATTTTAATTTAACATTGTGCTACTTATCTATTATTATGTCATTTATTCACCAACACTACTTACTACCTATTAGACAAGGTAAATCATATCAAGCGCTTTACACACACACTGCTAGTTTGCTGATTGCCTGTTAATTTTTATTATCATTTTATAACATTATACTTAAATTTTGCTAATGTTTGTTACAAAACATTCATTTATACTAAACCACATCCTAAAGGTTCATAGTGTTAAAGGTACTGTGTGCGTATATTATGGCATTTAACAAATAATATGTTAACAAAGTTGGCGGTCTGCCACTTTCGGGCGTGTTCTCTGCAAATGAAAACGAAAAAATATCAACTAAAGTAGTAAATACTACTACGAAGCACGCTGCCGACGACAGCAACTGCAAGCGATACGTGCGGCAACTGCAGTCTGTACGTAAAGCTACTGCGTACTGTCGACCACAGGTAAAATACAGGCTTGCATAAATAGGATTTTTTCACCGAACCCGGCTGGAAAGGGTATGTGCTGTCAGTGAATGCAGCAGAATAATAAATAAGACTAGGTTCAGATGTAACGCACACTAATGCGCGTTATTACTCGCTAAACTGAAAAGCGATTGGAGCTTTTATTCTGTTGTCTTTGCGCGTGTGTTTTGTTTTATAAAATTTTGTACACTATGTATAGGGGTTTAAAGCAAGGCAATAAGAACCGGGTACGTTTGAATTCGAATAAAAAAATAGTCATTCTTTCAGAATGCAACGGCCTTGTTTAAAGCAAGGCAATAAGAACCGGGTACGTTTGAATTCGAATAATAAATATTAAATGCAACGGCCTTTCATGAATCTCTTAAGTCCAAAGGCAAACCAGTACTTTTAACATAATTTCACATTTGACGAATAGTGTCCCCCCTAAGATCGCTATGTTGACCATAGGTTTCCCATAACGTACGAAACGTTTGATAAATTGAAGTACCATTTTGATAATACTTTTTAACGATTACAACGCCTTGCTCGATTGTTTAACCACTGGTAATGCCAAACTTTCAGTAATTTATCTATCAAAAATTTGCGCTAATAGATGATCTAATATGTCCACCATAGGCTGTCAAGGGTGCCCTGTTTCCTATTTGAAAAGGCTCTATATAGCCTATAGAGGTTTGATTTGAAGATGTACATTGAATCTTTTGCCATTCTCATATGGACTATACATAGAGGATATTTAAAGTAAGTTTTATTAATCATTATAAAGTGCTTGTTGTATACATTACGACATCCAAGTGTGGACACTGCCCTTGGCAAGCACTGTTCATGCATATCCTACAGAAATGCATAAATAACCTGTTTAATATAACGCGACTGCGCACGCGGTGTGCGTTAATAAGCGCACTAAGAGTCTGTTTTATTCATATTTTAAATTTGGGTCAAAAAAATAAATGATACTAAAGCAGTAAATAAACAACAAGCAGGGCAAGATGAAAATGGGCTACATATTTTCGTAATTTCGCAAGTCACATCTCCAGATACAATTCACATAATGCTTACAAATGCAGCTTAAAATCCAACTTGGGGGTAATTTCTCATCAATAGTATGAGAAAAATAAACAAGCACAATAAGATAAAAATCATTAATTGGTTCCACCACAAACAACATAGCAGTGTCTGCTCAACTTACCATAGACACATATTTTTAATAAATAAACACGAAATTTAGACTATATATTACTAGCTGACCATAAAAATAGGGGCTGGTGGTAGAAGGGAGAAAATTTAGGGTTGTATGTATTTTTTAAAACCACATTATAATAAAAAAAAATTAAAAAAAATATAAATGTCAGTAGTGGACAACCCTTATCAATTAGGGATATGAAAAATAGATAGTAGTCGATTCTCAGACCTACTGAATCTAATATATAAAATTCTAGTGTCGCGGTGTTTGTGGTTAACTCCTCCGAAACGGCTTTCCCGATTCTCATGAAATTTTGTGTGCATATTGGCACGGTAATAATATCATACAGTATTCTATCTTCATACAAACGGTCGGAAAGCGAATCAAACCTACGCCACTCGAGTTCGATGTGCTCTCGGCGTGCACCCAGTCGCGAATGCGCCGCCGCGCCGCAATGACGACCGAACGGTCTGAATTGTTTTTTATGCAGTTAGCCGTGCTTAAACATGCGTTTTGTATTGTAAATATTTGATTTAATTAAGTAGATACCTACATAATTTAGTATGGAAAAGAACAAATGACGATCAGTATCGTACAACAGCACAATTGCTGTTTTTGGTTGCTTGAACTCTTCAATAACACACCCAGAGATATCATTTTTTAAATTACCTGAAATATTGGAAAGGTGTCTTACCTTTATAGAATATTTTCTATATACCTATCTAATAATACGTTATTTGTTTCTAATATTTAGGTATTTCGGTTTTTCCATCGGGCAAAATACCTGGAATAATATATAAATAAGTGGTTAGGATGAAAAAAGAGACAAACGAGTAATCTACCTACACTCGCGTTAAAAACAAAACTACATAAAATACTGTAGGCTGGCGGCCCTACCGCGTGCCAACGCAGCGTTCGGTGTAGGCATTTATTTTCAAGGACAGGGCGGAGTCACAATACTGTATAGATAATATTACCTTGATATTGGGTAGGTCTGAGAATCGGACATCTATTTTTCATCCCCCTGAATGTTAAGGGTAATACAAACCTAATTTTTTTTTTCAATTTTAGATAAAAAAAAAATATTTTTTTTATGATACATCATACAAAAATACATACAACCATAAATTTTCACCCTTCTACCACCAAACCCTATTTTTTTATGGCGGTACGAAGTTCGCTGGGACAGCTAGTATGCATATAAAAACGGGATAAGTAAAAACTTTTCTTTTAGAATGCTGGCCACAAAAAAAAATATTGAATTTCGAATTGTTCATGAAAATAAAAAAATATACTTTTTAGAATTTTACTCATTTTTAAATATGGAGTGGACGCTTAAAGAAGACCGTGTTGCAGTTATTGCGTTGCATCAATGCGGTTACGCGCCCATTAAAATTTTTGACATACTGAAAAATTTCAATATAACCAAAAGATTCGTTTATCGTAACATCAAACGATACAATGAAGACTCTAGTGTAGATGACAGGTCAAGAAGTGGTCGCCCTCGGTCTATTACGACTCCAGCAGTGATAAAAGCTGTGAAGGCGCAAATTCAAAGAAATCCCAAACGTAAGCAGAAACTGTTGGCCCTTCAGATGGGGTTAAGCAGAACCACGGTGAAAAGGGTGTTAAATGAAGACTTAGGGCTTCGGGCATATCGAAGAAAAACAGGACATCGTTTGAATGCTCGTCTAATGGACCTGAGACTGAAGAGATGCCGCGCTTTGTTGAAGCGGTACGCGGGAAAAAAAATATCGAGAAATTAATTTTTCGGATGAAAAAATTTTTACCGTAGAAGAGAGCTACAACAAACAAAATGATAAGGTGTACGCACACAGTAGTGAAGAAGCGAGCAACCGTATTCCGCGTGTCCAACGAGGTCATTTTCCGTTCTCGCTCATGGTATGGTTGGGAGTTTCTTATTGGGGCTTAACATATTTTTGTGAGAAATGTGTAAAAACGAATGCAGTTGTGTATCAAAATACAGTTCTGACAAACCTTGTGGAACCTGTTTCTCATACCATGTTCAATAACAGGCACTGGGTATTCCAACAAGATTCGGCGCCAGCTTATAGAGCGAAGAGCCAAAAGACTGGCTGGCGGCGCGTGAAATCGACTTCATCCGGCACGAAGACTGGCCCTCCTCCAGTCCAGATTTGAGTCCGTTAGATTACAAGATATGGCAACACTTGGAGGAAAAGGCGTGCTCAAAGCCTCATCCCAATTTGGAGGCACTCAAGATATCCTTGATTAAGGCAGCCGCCGATATTGACATGGACCTCGTTCGTGCTGCGATAGACGACTGGCCGCGCAGATTGAAGGCCTGTATTCAAAATCACGGAGGTCATTTTGAATAAACTTTATTGTCATAAGAATCTATGTTTTGTTAAGTTCATTTTAGTATATAAATGGTTACATAATGAATAAACTTGTTTCAATTATTTTATATTAAACATGTGACAGAATTTATGACCTGACTAGGTAAATATATAAGTATTTCCCACACTCACACCAATTAGCCTAGCCCCAAAGTAAGCTCTGTAAGGTTTGTGATATGGGATGCTAGGGTAACAGATAGAATACATAATATACTGATACATATACTTACACCATGAGTTTCTCACATTTTATTCAGCAAAAAAACTGAAATCTTTTATGGAGATATGTCTCCACGTTAACTCACTATTTCTGCAATTATGAAACCTTAACAATTATAATTGTTATAAATTGATTCAAATAGAACTACTTTAACTTTAAAGGGATAATAATTCATTAACAGGTATATTATTTAAAAATTTGTGCCATTTTACAATATTTAAACAATATAAATCAATATTTTTGTATGAGATGAGGACATGTTTGCTGTTTCTAACTGTTTGCACTATGTTTATTTAAATGATTTTGCAATTTCTCTGGTCAATCAAAATTCATGGAGTATAAGTATATTTTACCCAGAAATATATATAAACATCTATGAATAAGGTACAAATGCTCGTATTTATCATACTAATATTTATCCCCACCGGGATTCGAACCTGGGAATGTATATACCACTCGGCCACAGTGGTTGTCAAATAATATATATTTTAATTCTAATATACATCTACCATCTTATTAATAAACAAAGAATAAGCTGGATTAGTTACTATATGTTTTGTCTATGTTCATTGAATTACAAAACAATGGAGCTTAGAGATATGACCCACAGCATCACTAGTCATTTATTAATAAGGGGGTTAGAGGTTCATAATCGAAGTTTTTTCTGTCTCACAGAGGATGGCCGTTAGTACCTCATCAACAAAGATCAATAGAAAGTCAAAATTTTAAGTATATTTAGCTAGTTTTTTTAAGTTCTAAAGCAACATTGATAAGATAATAATAATATAAGATATATTAAAGCTTGATTTTACCAATGTTTTGACTATGGGACATTAATAAATCAGGAATCATATTAGCAAGAATGTAATATTTTGTATATTTCATGAAAAAATTGGAACAGACGATTATGTTATTTGATACATAGTTAAAATACTATAGAAAAATAACCATTAGTCAAAACTTTAAACATTCTACTTAGTATGTGAAGTGACATTCACTAATTGTCAAGTTTAAAAATGTATCAAACAACTTAGCCTAAATCAACCATGAAGCAAATAATGTGAATTCACTCATATTTTAGAACCACTACAAATAATGGTATTTAGTAATTATAAGTTGACAAAGTTAGGTGAAATTAGGTCTAAATAAAATTAATTTATGAATTTTTATAGATAATTTTATGATCTACAATTTTTGCCTGAAGTGCTTTTATGATCAAACATACTGTTTTGATGAATATCACGAAAACTCCACTTTTTTACCTTTGACCGAAATGAATATATTTTTTCTAAGTACTGGAACTACAGATAATTTTGAAATGTAATTTTTAATTATGTTTGTTGTGTTGTTTATATTATTATGAATCAAGTTATATTTAATTTAGAACATTAGTTTAAAATATGAAACAGACACTCTAATTCTACAAAGTAAAAAAATTAACCTAAAAATAATAACTAAAATATATTATTAAAAGGAGTCCCTTTAGCCAAGGTTCTGAAGGTACTGGCAGCAACAGCCTTTGAATAGCTAGGCTAAACTAGACAAATAATTTGTCCAAGGTAGCTGCCAGCTCTTTGGTCTCCTGTGATGTTGACTAACCCTTTTGTTATTGCCTTAAAAAATATGAATTAGATAAATATTTCATATTTACTTTAGATTTTTGCTGAATCTTCACTAAATACTTTAAGTGGTAGGATTTTTTTTTGACTCTTTATGAGCAAATAAAAGGCTATGTTTATAAAAAGCAAAAAAAACATCTATACAGAATTTTGTGTTTTGAGTAATTTTTACCTCTTCTGATATATCACTTTCCCACTTGGTAATGCTAAGCGACTGTCTTCAACCAAAATTAGTAAAATAAACAAACTTAAGCACTTCTTAAGTAAAATAAAGTGAAATACAGAAACAGGGGCATCTGCACATATGAAAGCAAATAATAAAATTACGACCAGTGAAGTGTGCTATAAACAAATATTTCAAGTTTAGTGACTTCCATGAAAATCACTTACCTGAATTGGTGTTGGCCTGCAACTGCCTACGCAGATGCGGGGGTATGTAGCGGCCAGCACTCTTAGGAGCCTGAGGCTGCAAGTCCAGACCAGCAAGCTAAAACAATTTATTTAATTTGAATTTTATTAAAACATGAATCTTACCTATTTATAGGTATTTTACAGGGGGTCAAACTGACAAGATACTGTTGAAAATAATAAAGTAGGTAAGTAAACAGATATACAATCTTCAGTAGCTTGAAAACAATAACCTACATAGTTAACATATCTATAGCATGACTAATCATGACAAAAAAAGCAGAAATAGCATAGATATATAAATAGCATCGTTGGTGAGGTTTGGGTATAGTTTTCATAAAAAGTTGCAGGTACTTATTCAACCGAATCAATACTCAACATACTCATGTTTTAGAATTTCCGCGACTTCACATCCACACAAAGTGGTTTTGTGCGATTGTAAGTTTCCCCCGACATCACACGTAATTAGATTGTGACAATGACCTCACTACAAGGTTTCTTGGAAAACTACTGCATTGAGTTATGCTTCTGATGATATCTGAAGGTCTGAGACTCTTGCAATACCTACTTAACTTTATAATAATGGCATACAAGAGATGAATCGAGTCGCCATGTTGGTTATGCCCGGACACGTAAATTTCGAAATATTATAAGTTTTGTCTATATTACGTCCAGTCGTCCTAACAAACCAACACACATCTCATCAAATGAAAAAAATAATTGGTAAATGCATATAGAAACTACCTTTTCATTCAATAAAGCAAAAATCAATACAAAGTGCATGTACTACATGAGGTACCGACCTGCTGCTCTAGACCTGTTCCATTTTGGTTGGTAACATTACTCATATTACTACCAAGCGGTTCGTTTTTTTGGGAACTTTGCACCAAAAATACTATACAAACACAGTCTACAATGAATTTTTCACAAACACAAATTCACAAAATCACATGCAAAGGCTTCAATTTTTCTCTCCGAAATCACTTTTCATTCGTAGTTTTTTTTCTTCTGCAATGATTTTTTTTATTTTTATATTTGTCTATGATGACTCATTCATTCAAACGGACTTCATTCATTCACCATTAATATAATGCGGGATTTACACTACCCAATTTTAAAGGACCCTTGCCCTGACTAAGGGTGGTGTAATGTGAGTTAGGGAGTAAGAGGCCCGATCTACGACGATCGGCGTGGTGTAATGATTGTTTACCCTAGCTAGGGGCCACGACAACCCTTTCGATTGGGCCCTTATAATTGGGTAGTGTAAATCCCGTTTAAGGGCCCCCGTATACAATACGATAGAAATTTGCGTGGAATAAAACCGTTAAATGAGACGTGCGCAGGCGCGACAGTCGCATACACAAGCGAGTTTGCAATTTGTGTCGATTCTACATTAGCCGAAGGAACTTCGTTCCTACCTGGTGTCCCACGACACCACATCATTTTTTTTTATAACTAGCTACTGTTGCTCACGATTTCACCTGCGTGTAATTCGTTTTATATGAGGACTTCATTTATAGATATTCACGTGGCGTTGTAAACAAAATAGGCACCTATTCATTCAAATCCTTCCAGCTATTTAGCAGGAGCGGTAATTAACACACACAAACTTTTGCGTTTACAGCATAATATGTGTTGTGTGATATCCCACCAATATTACAAAAAATCTTAATGTCAAAAATCACTTTATTAGAATATCGAAATATCGTCACAAAATTACTTGTGTTTATAAAGATATCGATATATATGCCATCTCCGTTGGTTTCAGTATTCGGAGGCCTCGGCAAACATGCCGGCACTGCACCAGTGGTGCAAAAGTTCCAGATTAATCGGGCGATCTACTGATTTTTGCTTTTCCCTCCCGAGATCCCAATTTAGCGACCATGTCTCCCGATTTTTATATTGTATACTTAAGAAACGATCAATTATAGTATTAGTAAGCATTCTAAAGACCAAAGGTGACCTGGTAACACTAAACCAATGCATGAGTAGGGAAAAATTATATTCTCTTTGGCAAGGGGGTTTCCCAAAAAATCTTAAGTGGCTTCTCAAACTCTCAATACACACAAAATATATTACACCGAAATGTCTTTTAATAGAGTTGATTATTGTTTGATGGGGAATCACTTCAGGTTGTTTGGCGAATCTACTGTACTGTACTGACTCAGACCAAATAAAAAGTAAAGACGGAGTCTGCCGAACAAAAAAGTGAAGCCGATAAAACTACGCCTCGCCGCGCCGTGTACATACACAGTTACACGCACACACATGCAACGAAACTACGCCTTGGCTTCCCAGTCGAACTATCTCGGCACGCGGGGTGTGACGTAATAATAAAAAACAATATTTATTAGAGAAAATGGCGAATTGTGTAGTGAAAACATGTAGAAACCAATCCTCCAATAATAAAAAACAGGATGGAATCACATTTCATACGTAAGTAAAGTTAATAAACTACTGATGCCAATTCTGGCGTGATTCTCTAAACTTAAAACTAAATTTAACATCAGTCTCTCCTTTTCATTCTGTATAGAGAACGACAAGGATATACTGCTGTCAAATTTAAGTTTAGGTTTAGAGAATCATGCTAGAATCGACACCAATATTTACAATAAATCAAAATCAAATTTGAGGTTGTCGCTTTGTAAACAAAACCTGAACGAAATGCTGCCATGATTATACGTTACAGTTTTACCCTTTTGTTGGGTAGCGTGAAATATAACGTTACGTTATTTTATTAAATACATTGTGTACATATATATACAGCATACTTTTATATTATTCGAATATTGTAATGCATGGATAAACAATTACACGAAACATCTTTATTATCTTTTTGTCTTTATGTATTCGTATATTTTTTTTTGGGATGTAATACACATTATATGTTATACGTTTTTTACGATTTCCTAATCGAGATCAAAATCTAAAAGAGAAGTGGATTGCGACATTCGTAACAGTAGAAATGAACCATTGTGCCAACCAGCTTCCCGCAGCGTGGTTTGTTCGTCTCATTTTCAGAGTGACGATTTGTACTACACAACAAAAGGGTTACGTCGTGTAAAATAAAATGCATATTCAAGGATATTTTTTTTACTTAACTTAATATAGTTACTTAGGTTAATTTATATTTTAAAGATTCCAATAATTCTTCAGTCGTGCTGACGGTTGAAACACAAAATTACACCAATCTTATTTCACAATATTCACTATGAACGAATTAAAGAATAATTAAAATATGACGCTAACCGCACTCCATGAAATCCCGCCAAAAACTCCAAAGGTTAAGCTTTGTTTTTATTATATATTGGTGTAGATTCTAGCACGATTCTTTAAATCTAAACTTAAAATTGACAACAGTGTTTCCTTGTCATTCTCTATACAGAATGAAAAAGAGAGACTGATGTTAAATTTAGTTTTAAGTTTAGAGAATCACGCCAGAATCGACGCCATTTTTTAACTAAACTTTGATTAGTGTAACAGTTATTACACTTATAAATCACAGGAACCCCAGATCTCCAAGCGCAGGACCTTTGGATCACGAGAGGTTTGATCTAGCGCTAGTGTCAAACTAATCTGGACTAGTTTAGAGAATAAGCCTACGATAGTTTTTTCTAATATTTTATAACGTTATTACATTTTTCTAATATTGGGGTATTATAAATGACTATGGTAACACTGGCTAATGCACTACATACATAAAAAACCGGCTTCACTTTTTTGTTCGACAGACTCCGTCTTTACTTTTTATTTGGTCTGAGTGTACTGAGATATATTAATCTATTTTTTTATTAAGATATTTAAAATTTACATTTGGCGGCTTTCTCAAAATTTGAATAATTCATGAAATAAAACATTGAATATAGAATTTATTTCCAGTTTGAAACGCAATTTGACTTTGGTTTAAGTAATTTAGTTGAGGTACATAGTTTGATATTAAATAGTATAGTTTAACTTCCGATACAGAAAATAAAGACTTCTGCTTAAATATATTGTGGTCATGACAGACAACTACGGAACCATACACTGCGCGTGGCAAGACAAGCACTTGGCCGGTTTTTGAAGTTATACTTCTTTAGCCGCGTTATGAAAAAATTATGAGAGTGAAATTTTAAGATGCGCGCGCATCACTGTAACACAAAAGTAACATAATGAAGTTAGCTGCGGGCGCGTTATGAAAAAATCATGTGAGTGAAATTTCGAGATGCGCGCGCATCACTGTAACACAATAGTAACACCATGAAGTTGGCCGCGGGCGCGTTATGAATGTTAGTGTCTAATAATGGTGGTCGAAAGGTACTTTGAACGATCCACGGAGCTCCATAAGATGATCGCGTTGTCAAAAACAATGTTGGCACGCTCGTCGCCTCTGATCACTGTTTTCATATTTATAATATTTATCCACATGTTTCTAGTTTCTATATAGACACAACGTGTTTTAGTTACTTACAAGTGCTAATTACATATGGACTAATAACTTAAATTCAGTAGTGATTTTAATTGAATATTTTGAATATTTATTTAATTTTTCAAATTAAAACTGAACTTAATTGACTGTGTTAACTATCCTTCTCCAGTCCTTTTATTATTTTATTGTAATTATTAATTATTTGCATGCAATTAAAAAATATTTTTAATGATGCTAAAGAAGTATAACTTCTCACGCGCGTACATAAGTTACACGCATCCATTTTTGTACTGAAAACTTATTTAGCGGCGTTGTACACTTTTTTTGTAATTGGTAAAAACTGTTAAACTCGCGTCATGACCCGTGGCCTGATCGCATCCGGACACCTGACAATCGAAAATTCGCAAGACGAAAACAATAAAATTGGAAGGATTGTTGACTTTCAATATATTGGACGAATCATAGTAATATTTTATTTTATTGTATTATAATAATAAGTCAGTATCTAGGACGTCCAGGTGGCAGCTTTATTGCGAAAAAATGCTTTTTTTTATAATAGATGTCGCTAGGTGCGCTTAGATGAGAAATTCTGAGAGATAAACTTTTTAATGTAATATAAAAATTTACATGTTTATGTACGATAGCACAATAAATAAATATTGTATTCTACCACATAAATAATAGTACTTTTATACTGATAATTAAAGAAATTCGTGCAAAATTATTCCCTAACCATTCCAAAATATCAAAAATGCACAACGTTAATATTCAAGTTTTCACTTCTGCCGGCACTCCCGAAGCGCAACCCGTCGTTTTTTTAACTCAAAATACCGGCCATTTGTCGGAATCTATAAAGGAGTAAGTAAATTAATTTAAATAACTGCTTTATTGTTATAATCATTAAGAGCTGTTTTATCATACAAATAATAATAATACAATAATAGTGTAATTATTCGCCACATAATACGGCACATATACTTTTTCGAAGTTAAAAATGTACAAACATGAAATTATTAAGACGTTACTACATATACGATAGCTGAGTGTGAGTAAACATTTATGATTTCGTTTTAATCAATCTTTTTAATCAGCAACTTCTGCAATATTGGTAAATTAAATATTAAGTAAATTAAAAAAAATGCACATTTGACTCGCATTTGACTTTATTAGATTTTTGATATTTTGACATATTGCAATAGTGACGTGATTGTCTTTTCACGTCACTATTGCAATATGTCAAAACCTTAGCTCTAAGGTCATAATAATATAAATACCACTCTTTGGTCAAAACGGCCATCATATCGTGCTGAGAATATATAAAGTAATAATTGAAATAAATACGAGTGTGCTTATGATCACACGACTGAAACTTCTTTAGCTATCTAAATAAATATATATATATAGGGTGAAATTGAATGTTTCTATGAAACTTCGTGAGATTGTTGGGTTATTTGTATAGAGTATGCCTGTTTTTTTTCGGATTTTTTAAAATAATTTTTTTCGTTTTTTATTTTTTTATTTGGTTATTTTTTTGCATTTCTTCCTTATGAGTAATTATTCATTTTAAACACGTCTACATAGAAGTTGTAAAACAACTTAAATTAAGCACTCCTAAAAAAAGGGAAACTTAATGAATGCCTCCAGTCGAGATCG